GTGAAAGTAATGAACGCCTAAGCTTCAGCTATCTAAATAGCATGCAAATTCAGCCACCTTGTGTTTTTTATATACAGCAGCTTCGAAAAAGGCACATTTTACATTTTTTTCTGTGGTATTAAACTTATGCCATTGTTATTAGTAATATAACTTCTAATGACAACTGCCAAATATGACACTTACAAATTAATACAATTTATGAACACACATAGAAAAGACAGAAAGTAGGGATTTTTTTCTTTTTTCTTTATTTTTCTTTCTTTATTTTTTTTACACATCTTTTTAGTCATTTTTTCTGACCATCAAGTGTCAGTCACTCTCAATGCCAACTGGCAGGAAAACATGGTAAATTCTATCAATTTTTTAACGATAGATAAAGTGCCGCGATAACCTCCCCGTGCTGAGATGCGTCGTATCATGTGTCGCAGCTTCGAAAAAGGCATATTTTTTTCTGTGGTATAAACTTCTCATATGCCACTGTTATTAGTGATATAACTTTAATGCCAACTGCCAAATATGACACTTACAAATTAATACAATTTATGAACACACATAGAAAAGACAGAAAGTAGGGATTTTTTTCTTTTTTCTTTATTTTTCTTTCTTTATTTTTTTTACACATCTTTTTAGTCATTTTTTCTGACCATCAAGTGTCAGTCACTCTCAATGCCAACTGGCAGGAAAACATGGTAAATTCTATCAATTTTTTAACGATAGATAAAGTGCCGCGATAACCTCCCCGTGCTGAGATGCGTCGTATCATGTGTCGACGATAGCCAGAGATATTGTCAAAAGCATCAAAAATTGGCAATATTAAGAGGATTTATCATTTCCAATTATTTATCATTTCCAATTCTTCTTCTTATTATTAGGCCTATTATTATTATTATTATTATTAGGTTACTTTTATTATTAAATTACATGAAATCATTGCCCCGAAATAATTTCATAGCGTGCACGATGCGCTGTCCTCATTGAAAATGTTTTTAAAAAGTAAAAAAAAACAAACAAAAAAAACAGGTGTATTAATTTATACAATGAATTAACACTGCAGTCATCTCATCAATGAAAATGAAGAGCAGCTTTATTTCGTAGCCTACACCGATTTTCAATAGCAATTTTCTATAGCCCCGTCAAGCCCCGCCCTAGCGCCGCCACTGGTTTTCTGTCTTCTTAATTAATTTTCTTATCAGAACACATTACTGCTGTCTTTAATCCTGTAATGCTGCAACATCTCATATGAACTAACATTTAATATTTAGCCAAATAAGACTTCTCCAGAGTAACAGAACATTGCTTAAGGATTGTGGATTATGTTACTTCAGGTATTTATTTATTTTTTTTAATAAAGTTGAAATGACATTTCCAACTTACCTACAAGCATATGCCATTGTTTCACAACCTTGTAGTTTGTTCTAGCAGTCTTGAAAGATTTATGTTATCACTAAAACCAGTTTTGAAAACTGTGAATAGGATTACTGTTTAAATTGCGTCTGTAGCTCATTTCATTTGTTGCAGCTTAAGTGCTATTATACATGTCTTCACTTTTCCATGTCTAATTTCAGAGGCTAAACATAGGCTACAAATCACATTTGTACATTTAATTCAGGCCATGCACAAGAATGTCAACTGCATGTATAGCTGCACGTTTCACAGCCTTTCTAAAACGAAATCTTCCAGGAAAGAACTGTGTTGAACTATGCGCTTATTGAGAACAAACCAGACAGAAATCGGTTATTACCTATGAAGAGGAAATGCTGCAAAATACCAAGTTTTCACTTACTTCAAGATTGCTAGTTTTTGATGCGCAACACTTCCTCATTGTCAAATAGCACAAACTGTCGCTAACTTATTTTTGCCTTTGGGCTTGGCATATGATTGAAGGCGTTTTGCTTTCATGCAAGATGTTTCACATAATTGAGCCTCAGTTTTGGCAAAGGGGTCGATGTATGTCATGGGTGACGGTAAAGAGCTGTACAATTAGTTCAATGATTATTCACGTACTAGGTTTGGTTTCTTAACTGCAGAATACTGTACACTGAATTGAAGGTGTTCACACAACACTTTCCTCATACATTAAATTATCTCCAATAGATTAACCACAAAAATCAAATGACTCAGAAATCAAAACTGTCATGTGTATAGTATGAGCGAGCTTCTTATGTTTACAAATGATTAACTTTATTTAACTTTAGGTTGTAAGTAAGACAAGGTTACAAGCAATGAGATTCGAATACAACGGCAGGTGTGTCAAAGCCAATAAATGTAGGCTACTTTCAAAACCGCCAAAGTTAAACATAAATTATGTGTGCTTAAGAATAAAGTGTTTTATTGAAGCATATATATGCGAATGCTCTAACATTTTGAGGTGACATGCTTATGGGAGACCAGAGTTCAAATCAAGCCTCAGCCGTTTTGCCATCCTGGTCTGTAATTTGTCCTCTCTCTTCTTTATGTTCTGCTTCTCTATTACTGTCTATCAATAAAATAGCAAAAATGCACCACAAATAAATCAAGTCTTTAAAAAACATATGTCTTGGTGAGCACCACATGCCAATTTATCATCGTAAAACTGCTTACTCCCAGCAAGAGGTAATTCAAATTCCCAGCAGGGCTAAGAAGGTGCAAGGTGAATGACTTCTGTCTCTTCATACATCAATATAAACTATGTATTATTGAAATTGGAGTTATTTACAACATGGCAAATGTTCAGAATTTACAGTACCTAAAAGGTAAGGGAAGGGAAGCATTAGTGATGCTGCCTGTTAGAAAAGCCTGGTGCATTTCAAGTATCCCCGCAGTTAATGAAACCCATTTCCCCTGGATTATTTCCCGTTGTACAACATTTCCAAGACGGTGAGTAACCAAGAAGATCTAGTTCGTACAAAATATATACGCGTGTAAATGTTTCGCGTTAACCACTTGCGTAAACGTCCAAAGGTCGTGTCGTTTTATCAGTATCAATTTACTCTTATCTGCCTTTTCGAGGACTTCATATTTATCGATCATGTTTTAATAGTCATATTGTTCACATATATCATCGAGAGGACACCACAGATCATCGAAGACAAAATATTCTCTTGTTAAACGACAACGAAAGCTGATTTTGACCAGATCGAATTATGCACGTCTCACCACATCGTAAAACATTTGAACCAACTAAAATTGAATACTTAAGCTTAATTCTTTTTTTAAAGTCGCACTTCTTTTAACCATTTCTGGTTTAAACTCAAATTCAAATTGAGTAGAAATTACGAAAATAGATGTGACAAGTTAAATGGATGGAAACAAACACGCTGTTACAGTATAATAACGTTCACCTCAGCGAAATCAAAGCATGGTTGTGGTAGCCTACTTAACGACAAGGGTCACGTTCATTTTAAATAATATTATGTAGCTAGTCCTTCCACACCCCCACCAACTAATTAAGTGCGCGTAATTGCGCGCCTTCGTGCGCATTTAGCGTCTTAAAATACTTAAAAGGTCAACGATGCTAGAAAGTCTTTTCAGACTGTCGCATCAATATGTTGTGATATAAAACACGCTACCGTGTTCATTTACATTTCCCCCAGTTACGCTCTGCAGACAGCGCATTTTTGCAAGCGCACGTAGCAAAAAAACTAAAGCAAATCACATGTGATTCACGCTAAATTACTCGCGTCAAAGCAAAATCCGTTCACTTACGTTTGACTTCTTCATATGGAACGAGAGGAGTAACTCCAATGTCAGCGAAACCCTATTTTATCTTACTTCGGCGGGCAGGGAAAGGGTTCTTTTCATCCCAAAGGTACATATCCAAAATCATCATAAAGTAGAATCCAAGTCGGGAGGGAAAGAAAGTCACCTAAATTTGCGGAATGACGGTAAGTATCCAGGTAGACGCTTCATACCGCACGATGGTGAACGGGAGGCTGCGGAAAGAATCAAGAGTTTTTTCCCAAGAGCAAAGCCTTTTTATCGTGTGACTTCAGCGCACTCCCGCCCACCCCAGTTTCTCTCGATCGTCTGCTGCCCTGGGTCTCACTCAGACGATTTCACAATCACCATCCAAACGTCCAGCTGAGATTTATATGATGGCAATGTTTTTCTTCTAGTTTTCGCAGGATGCTTGTTTACGGCTTGTCGTGACTGCAAATAGTTTGTTTTGCAGAGAAAATGTCCCTGGCGCTGGCGCTGGACTGTTTTTGCCTTGAGACGTTGAAGAAATGCTTAGTGATATCGTTATGGAAAACGTTCCATCACGGACGTGCACGTTTAATCCATCTTATTCCTGTTCTAACTATATATTAAAACGTCTTAACTATGACGAAGAACGAAACAAAGCTTTGGTTTGGTTTAATTGGATTTTGTTATTATGGAAACATAAGAAATGAAGCGCAGCTGACCATTCAAGGTTTCTCGAACGGAAAATTTAGTGAAAACCAGCAGCCGCTGTGTCATCTTCACGCGAAGGCTCTTTGGTGGTTTCATATTGCACATACTTGACATTTTATCAAATATGCGAATCAAATGTGTTCGAATCCCACGTGTTTGACTTTTCTGTTTCATTTGTGGTCGAATGTGACAGACCTCCGGGAACACTGAGGTAAACAGTGACATCTACAGCAGTACAGTAGCCTACAAGAAGAGAGACTGAGGTAAACTGTGCCACATTTTAAAAAATATATTACCCTCTAGGCAAGGAGAAATTAGATGGAGGCAAAGCCAGTAAGCAACAGGACATTTCAAATAAAATATGAGCTAAAAATGAAGAAAAAGAAATGCACTATTCCAAAAGTCAATTTTTGCTGCAGACAGGAATGATTTAATATTCGGAATATTTCATTGTAATGAAACACGTTTCTCATTTGCATCTCTCACAGGCAGCTCATGGCTCCTTTTTAAATATTTCATCACATGACAAAATTGTGCATGTTTCCTGGATAGGGGTGACACTCACTACTGGTTCAAAAGTTTCAATGTGGAAAATTGAAAGTACAGAATGTATCTCTTTCAGTTCATATAACTAATTTGTTGATATAGATGTGAATATGCCTCTAACTTCACCAATTCAATTTGCAAATATTATTTGTCTCACCTGTTCATGAATGAGCCAGTGGAAGGACCACCACCTGTATAGGTAACAATGCATACATTTATGTCACTATATATTTAAGAAGGGCCTATCTAGCTGTTATTGAAAAAATTGAATGTTTAAAAATTATTTTAAAAGTTAAATAAGAATGTTAATCTATGTCAAAGCAAATATATAATAATATCATATCATATTATATCAAATCATATAATGTTTGGTCTTTTGAAACCCTAAAATATTATACTTTTCTCTTAATAAATCTATATATTAATTCGTAATTTAAGATATCAAAAATAACACATTTTGGAAAGGAATAATGCATTAATAAACTGTTTTTTCGTGTTTGCATTTCTATTTGGTATTAGTACAGAAATCTCCTCAATATCACATTTGCATTTACACAAGTTATTGCAATCTACATAAGAATAATATTCAGTCAGTTTTTTTCGAGCACATTTAAAAGCACATTTACTGTAAATCACTTTGTTACAGAAATCTCCATTTCCGTAGTTCATTTCTGTGTGACATTCTTTAAAGCTTGTCTGATGAACCAAAAGGGGTGAAGTTTAGCAAATGGGTCTATTGTTTTTTTTTAATTAAAAATAAATTGGACAGTTTACCCGAGATGGATCTACAACTGACACAGCATGGGGCAAGTTGTGCCACTGCACATATATGATATGTTAAAAGAGATATATATATATATATATATACAGTGCCCTCCGTAAGTAGTGGGACAGTAATGACAAAATTGCTTTGTTTGCTGTGTAGTCAAGACGTGCAAATATGATTAAAAGATGAATATGAGACAAAACTACAGAATGTCACATTTTATTATTAGCTGTTTCAACACATGCATACATGTTTTACCAAATAAAAAGGACAGCACTTTTAGAGTTCATCCCACTATCTGATGTGAGTATAAGTATTGGAACAGTTGAAATTAAAGGTGCACTAAGCAATTTTTGAAAAACGCTTTTGACCACAGTGTCGGACCGTGTCCCAAAACACACTTGCATCCAATCAGCAGTAAGGGGCGTGTCTTGTTATGATAGAGAGAAGAGAGTGCTCAATTTGAGTGCACAGGATGGATATTAGCATAAATGGAAGATAAAAAGAGGAAAATATCAGAAGAACAAAACATTAAAAAGAAGGGTTATGATCAGGCAAGCAGTGTTAATTTCGTTGACGAATAATTTTCGTCATAATTGTCATCAACGACATTTTTTTCACCGATAACAAACTAAAACTCTTTTTGAATGACAAAAACTATGACGTAAATCTATTGACATTTTCGTCAATGAATAAAAACGAGACAAAAATGTTAGGGAGGGATGATTTGGGAAGAGATTCATTCAGAACTAATCTGCTGCATGGTTCGGAGGTTAGATGCGTACATATGAACCGGCGGGACATAAGCTAACACACTTGCTGCACGTTGCATAAAACGTTAAAAAATGTCAATATGTGGGAGTAAGAGAAGAGGAGACATATGGATAAATCTGACGACACAAGAGAGAGCTCAATTACGTCCGGTTTTCTGAGCGCAGACACTGAAGCATACACATACAGAAAGAGTGTCTCACAGCGCGCGAGTACTCTCTCGATTCGCATGAACGGAGAATTACACACAAAATGATGTCGAATTGTCCGTTTTGATGAGTATTCACGTAAACACTGTTGATTACATCTTAAGTGAACGTAAACAGTAGGGAGAATGTGTATCAGTACATTGCATCCATTGCAGCTGTGCATTCGGTTTTAAAGGGACAGCAGGCTTAGAGGGTACATAAGTCTGAAGTAATTAATTTAGGTAAAGGGTTGCAGAGCCAGTGGTGGTTTTGTAGGCAAACATTAATGCCTGGAATTTTATGCAAGCAGCTATTGGTAGCCAGTGCAAATTGATAAACAGAGGTGTGACATGCATTCTTTTCGGCTCATTACAATCATAACTCCAAGGTTTCTGGCTGTTTTTGAAGGAGTTATGGTTGATGAGCCTAACTGGATGGTGAAATTTTGATAAAGTTATGGGTTTGTTGAAACCACAAGCAGTTCTGTCTTCGCCAGGTTGAGTTGAAGGTGATGGTCCGTCATCCAACAAGAAATGTCTGTTAGACATGCTGAGATGTGAGCAGCTATCGTCGGATCATCAGGGTTGAATGTGAGGTAGAGTTGAGTGTCATCAGCATAGCAGTGGTATGAAAAGCCATGTTTCTGAATGACAGAACCTAGTGATGCCATTTAGACAGAGAAGAGAAGTGGTCCAAGTACTGAGCCCTGAGGCACCCCAGTAGATAGATGTTGACTTGGACACCTCACCTCTCCAAGATACCTTGAAGGACCTATCTGAGAGATAAGACTCAAACCACTGGAGTGTGGTTCCTGAGATGCCCTTTGCCAATTGGTTTGACAGGAGGATCTGGTGGTTAACCGTTTCAAAAGCAACAGACAGATCCAGCAAGATAAGTATTGAAGATTTGGAATCCGCTCTTGCCAGTCTTAGGGCTTCAACAACTGAAACCAGACTGGTTGCTGTCGAGGAGGTTGTTCTGTGAGAAAGGCAGAGACTTGGTTGAACACAGCTCGTTCAAGTGTTTTTGCAATGAAAGGAAGAAGGGAAACCGGTCTGTAGTTCTCGAAAAGAGATGGGTTAAGTGTGGGTTTCTTAAGTAGTGGGGTTGTACGAGCCTGTCTAAATGCTTAGGGAAAAACACCAGTGTGAAGGGATGTGTTAATGATGTGAGTGAGTGCAGGTACAACTGCAGGAGAAATTGCTTGAAGGAGATCAGATGGAATAGGATCAAGTGGACAAGTAGTAGGATGATTAGAAAGGATGAGTTTGGAGACTTCTGCCTCAGAGAGT